CTGCAGGTTAGTCTGCAGGTTAGTCTGCAGGTTAGTCTGCAGGTTAGTCTGCAGGTTAGTCTGCAGGTTAATCTGCAGGTTAGTCTGCAGGTTAGTCTGCAGGTTAATCTGCAGGTTAGTCTGCAGGTTAGTCTGCAGACTGATGCAACATTCTGTGGCATCAGAACCGACTTGTTTTTATGATTGGGCAAATCTAAAGTCAGAAATATAAACTTCATGTGTTCATTTGGCTGAGAACCTAAACATGTATCTAACAAGATGTGTCCCTTTAATCATAAACTGAGTCTTTTATTTTGAAAAGAAAAGGTTGTAACTGCTTGTCCTCGGCTCTCCACGGTCCCTCTGCAGTGAAACCGTCGAGGTCGTTTGCTGATGACGGCAGCGTGGAGGAGCTACGGGCGACGGCTCAACGGCTGACCTCTGACAGCAGCTTCAGAGAGAGCGTCTACAAGATCATCACTCGCAAGGACGGACCCGACCGAAGCCCGGACTGAGAGAGGCTGTGCAGGCCAGGAGTCTTGGAGGAGTCCTGCCGCCTCAGCGTTTATTTAGTGAACAAGTATTTAATCTGCTCAACTTCTTTTCTGTTCCACACAAACAACGAGACCTTTCTGTAGTTTGTCTTTTCCCTTTAGGACCCACAGGTTTCATTAAAGTTCAGAACAAACCTCTGACGTTTACTGTGAGTAAAGTCCATCCATCATCCATCCATCCATCCATCTATCATCCAACATCTATCCATCCATTCATCGTCTATCAATCATCTGTCTATTCTCCATCATCCATCCATTCATCATCTAGCCACATCCATCCATCCTTTCATCATCCATCCATCATCTATCATCCATCCTTACATCATCCATCCATCATCTATCATCCATCCTTACATCATCCTTCCATCCATCATCATTACCCGCTTCTTCCTTTTCTTTGTCACTGGTGTTCATATCCAGCAGTCACTGTGTGAGGGGCAGGAGACACCCTGGACAGGTCTCCAGTTCATCACAGGGATGATGTGTGTGTATATATATATATATATATATATGAGCATCAGGATATATATATACTATTAAAGGTATAGTCTGGTTATTTTCAAGTGATGTTTTGTCAAATAGCTGTAGTTAATACATTATAAGCTGTGACATCATTCATTCAAAAGCTTTCAACCAGGCTAGGCTAATGGCTAACCAAATGTGGTTTTCTCTTTTAGTTTTATAATACAATTCATTTCTGAAAAATATCATCCTGATGTTAGCTAAAATTAAATCTCTACACTTTTAAATTAGTTTTTTTTTTTTATCAGTCGAGCAACAACCGTCTTACTTTACCGTACTCTGTGTGCTGGGCTGTTCATCATGTCCTGGACATGCACTATAATTAGAGACCAGGAAGCTGAAGCAGCAAATGATGAGTGCCCTCTGGTGGCTGGCTGAAGTACTTTTTACCTCCTACCCTTCCATCTAAAAGAATGGGACATTTTCCCAACTGAAAATATCAAAATACTTTTTGTTAAGCTAAACTTACTGCTGTTCTTATAATATTCATTTTTTTAAATGTTTAATGAGTTGTTTGAGGCTCATAGATAAATGTCACTGTGACTGACGGCATGTTGGTGTGTCGACACAACTTTTAATGTTCATCCTCCGATTCCAAAAAGCCAACATGGCAGCACCTGAAGGTCCTGAGGCTGAAGGTGTCGTGTCTTCATTTAAGTGTAGAGGTCCAATATTCACTAATGTATCGTTCAACACTTATGTGTTGTTTTGTAGAATGTTGTTGTTTTTTAAACCTGGAGATCTTAAAAAACTGGCCCTCGTTTGGCTAGCCGTTAGCCTAGCCTGGATGAAGACTTCTGCCCTCCTTCGTGCTTTGACTGACAGCACAAATAACATCGCTTCAAAAATGACCAAACTTTCCTTTAGTTGTAATTATTAGTAGGTTCTTGTTTTGATACGTGTTTGTTTTTATCCTTGCATTTTGTTTTCTTCCAGTACTTGGTACTGAACTGTTTGTTTGTTTGTCAGCGTTACATTTTCCAAAGAATAAATCTAAAAACGACGAAGCCGACTCCGTCTGGAAACGTGGTTTTTATTTTCCTGCCGTTCGTTGGCTCCGATTCTTTCCTGTCCCTGAAGAGTTGATGGGAGAAGTGACCGTACGGTTGTTGAACTGAACCGTATAAAACTTTAAATCTTTTCTCAACGAGTGAAACTGAGAGAAGGACGCTCCTGTCACAACGTACAAAGTTTAATGAGTTCACAGCAGAGGACAGAAAACAGAGTCCAGGAGGGTACAGAGTCCAGGAGGGTACAGAGTCCAGGAGGGTACAGAGTCCAGGAGGGTACAGAGTCCAGGAGGGTACAGAGTCCAGGAGGTACAGAGTCCAAGAGGTACAGAGTCCAGAGTACAGAGTCCAGAGTCCGAGATTACAGAGTTCAAAAGAATACAGAGTCCAGGAGGGTACAGAGTCCAAGAGGGTACAGAGTCCAGAGTCCGAGATTACAGAGTTCAGAAGAATACAGAGTCCAAGAGGGTACAGAGTCCAGGAGGGTACAGAGTACAGAGTCCAGAGTCCGAGAATACAGAGTTCAGAAGAATACAGAGTCCAGGAGGGTACAGAGTCCAGGAGAGTATAGAGTCCAGGAGGACAGAGTCCAGAAGGACAGAATCCAGGAGCGCGGCAGGAAACACACAAAGCTGTTTTTGAACCTCGTTCACGCCGATCCTTGATGCAGAAAAATGTCTGTAGCTTGTTTCTGCAGCCGTGATGCGTTCAGGAGCAAAACGTTACATGCCTGAGTTTCAGTCTGGTTGGACTCTGAGGAAGCTGTTCCACCATCTGCTCGTCTTCATCAACAGGACCTGCACTAAGACAAAACTAATCAAACCAGAGAAACACTTTTTTCTATGAAAACACAGCGATACTTGTTGCTGAAAGCTGCTGAACCAGCTAAAGCTTACTTGAAATAACAATTACTGAAAAGTTGAAAGAAGAAGCTGAAAGGATGAGAGATGAAATGATAAAATAGTAGCTGAAAGTAGATCTTAAAAAGGTGTAATTAGTAGAAAGAAGTTAACAGTAGCATAAACATGAATAAATTAGCATAAAGCTGAAATGTAAAAAAACTGACTTATCTAAGGAAAAAAGCCAAAAGGAACACTAAAAAGCTGAAATTAGAAGAAAGAACCTTAATAGAGCAGAAGCAGCTAAAATTAGCAAAACATTGTCTGAAAGTAGCTGAAAAATATACAAAAAAGTGAAATGAGTACAAAAGAAACTGATAAGATATACGCATAAGCTGAAATTAGCTGAAAAGTAGCCAAATTAAGCTAGAATAAGTACAAATAGCTGAAAAATATCTGAGAAAACAGAAAGAAGCTACAAAACCTGAAATTATGAGTAAAAGGATTTAAACAGCTAAAGGGTTTGAAGTATGTGTAAAAATCTCTCTTCATTTTCAATGAGACAAACATGGCCGACAAAGCTAAATATTTCAAAAAGTAACATTTGCACAAAAACCAAAAGTCCCAGCAGGAATGTCCTGAATGAGCCGAACATTTTGAAACATGAATTGTTGAAATAGAACAAAAGTTCTGGAACGTTCTGAAAAATGTGGAAGAAAAATGAAAGTTAAAAACAAGAACTATTTAGAAACATTCAGACTAAAGACCAGACGGGTTTATTTATTTTAATAGACCTGAAAACCTGAAGCTCTCGACCTTGACCTCTCTAAGTGGCTTTAAGAATCTGTTGGACTCCTGGGTAGTAGAGTGCTGCATGAATGTGTGTGTAGTAGAGTGCTGTATGAATGTGTGTGTAGTAGAGTGCTGTATGAATGTGTGTGTAGTAGAGTGCTGTATGAATGTGTGTGTAGTAGAGTGCTGTATGAATGTGTGTGTAGTAGAGTG